GCATTTAGAATAAAATGGAACCTCTCAAAGCAAGAGAAGTTATTAATAGACAAAGAAAATATAATAATGAAAAATAAGCATGAGGTATTGGATTGAAATTGGAGGTTTCACTATGGGCTCATGATTTTATAATATACATATTCAACAAACATTTATAGTTGTATATGCATTCATATACATATATATCCAAGCTCTGTCCACTGAAAGGGCCTAGAAGCAAAGATACCCCCATAACAATGAGCATGTCAAGGGTCATAATCTTAGTTTCTAAATGCTGTCCTCACTAAAAGGAGCCGGAGCTTCTTGGAGAAATGACTGATTCCAGGACAACGGCAGGAAAAGCATGATTGCACATTCTATTGCACCTGACATTAAGGCAATGTTCAATGAATGTTGGGGACATGTCAAAAGTATATAGAAGCCAGTTTGAATGGGATGATTTGGGCATTAAAATAAACAATGGCAACAATGTATTGCAACCCTAATGAATAAAATAGAAGCTCATCATTTTATACTGCCATCATAAATGAGTTATTAGAATCATTACATATTATATTTAGTCTATTATATATATGAAAATAAACAAATGTAGAGATATAATTTCTATTTACAATGGAATGCCAATGGATTTTAAAGGAATAATGGGAATAAGAGAATTGCTACTTGGCAGCCATCAGAGATAATGGTTGGTTAAAGCAGGTACTGTCAGTGGATATGAAAGCCATTTAGTGGTGGTTTGCTGAGGAATAAATTTATGGCATGATTGTGAAATACTGCCCTACAATATACTAATAATTCAAATGGAAAAATGGTGATTGTAAGGTGTAAGAACTCAGTAGACCCTGTGTCTCCAAGTGGTTAAAGCTAAAATCGCCTGGGGAAGGATTGGTCTATATCATGTGTCTTCTGAGATGATGCACCAAGAAATATGCCACATCATTTCCGTGGAACTCACTCCTGCCAAAAATGCATGACCTTACTCAGGACATGAAGAAGCATTAGATGGATCCATGTTGAGGGTCATCCTCCAGAATGTAGGGCGTGTCCCCTTTAAACTTGTCAATGACACGTAAGATAGAAAGACACTGAGGAGCTCATTCAGGATGAAAGAATCTGTTGCAACAATTAATTAATGTAACTTGCTTTTCTGGATAGAGCCAAAACCAACAAGATAAAGCTCTCATTATTAAATCTGTTGACAAAATTTGAATGGGAACTTAGGTTCAAATGGTAATACTGTACCAATTTTTATTTTCTGATCTGGAGGGTTATAAAATAGTTATTGAAGAAAGTGTTATTTGTGGAAAATACATACTGTACTGTTTGGGGTGAGGGAACAATGTGTCTACATTTTATTCATGAAAAGTTCACAAAAAATGAAATATATGTCTATATATTTTCAGAGAAAAAAACAGATTGGAAAATGCAGCAAATGTGGTAACCATTGAAAGTAATACTATCATTTTCATTTAAATTTAAGTTGCATACTCAATGCATCATTCATTAGTCCAACAAATGCCGAGATTCTCCCTGGCTTGCTCCACTGTTTCAGATGCAGTGTTTACAGAGGAGAACAAGTCAAACAAGGACACTTCCCACAAATATCTGCTCTCTAGTGGAATTCACTTAACTATGCTGAAGTCTGTGATCCTTTTCCTGAAGTAATTAATTCATTAGAACACTATTTTCATGTATGTTATTTGCAGATATTCCAGTGTCCTTGTGAAAGAAAGCAAAGGATTCTGAGAAAGAAATGATAATATTCAGCAACAACAACAAAAAAAACATATTCACTGAGGCCTCTTCTTTATTGCATGCATATTCTATTTCCACATTTCTGTGGTCCTGAGTTCAGGAAGTATTGCATATTACCAAAATTATGAATAGAGACTTTAAAAAAACCTATTCCATATACCTTCACAAGTGTGATCTCATTTGCCAGAACTGACAGCAGTCTTATAGTTACTGCTTTCTCAAATAATAAATAGTGCATTGTTTTGTTCCATCTCACAGTTTTTTTAAATTTCAAAGTTCAGTAGCGTATTGAATAAATGAATAAAGACCAAAACCCTTATAAATTGTGGTGGTGGCCCCCAGTGGAAACATCATTTTTGAAGTGCTTAAATGAGAACAATAAAGAGGGTGGTATCCACAATACATTAACACGTTCTTTATAAGGTTTTTTTTTTTAATAATAAAGCTTTTTAGTTGACTTCATTTTATTTTTTGCATTATAATATATATGCCAGATATGTAGATTTCCAAAACCACAAACACAAATATTAGAACTTCTAAGAATATTTTCAGTTCCACTGAGGATTTATATTTTCTTTTGTTTTATGAAGTTGCAATACATTTTGGTAACTGGGAATTGACAAAGGGCTAATAATAGTTATCTTGGTTCTACTGTTTATACATAATCTGCTTTATTTCTGCACGCATGTTAGATATTTGGAATATCTGTATATATGAAAGGTATAATTTAACCTGGAATATATTTGTTGAATGACTAAACAATCTTGAGTGCAATGACATTGTACCCATTAAACATAAAACAAATGAAATGCAGTCCCTCAACAGAAAACTAATTCTAGTAATAAATAAATAATAATTCAATAAATAATAAATTGATATATCCATGCACAGGGAGTATAGAACTTTTTAAAAGTATATCTGCCTCCCATTAAGGAAGTACCATGGATAGCTTTCTGAGGAAGACTTTGAAGGTTGAAAAGAAGCTTGTCAGACCAAATATTTTAAAAATGAAAATTCTCAAAAGATACTACACCATGGGAAAAATAATAGAATGTGATAATATATTTACTACTGCCTCAGTAGAGTGTGTGTGTGTGTGTGCGCGCGCGCGCGCGCTTGCACACGAGAGAGAGAGAGAGAGAGAGAGAGAGAGAGAGAGAAAGAAAAGAAAGAAAGAGAGATGAGTAGGGATTGCTGATAAAGTCAAGAATGGAGAAGGTTATGGGGATCAGATCAAGAGGAACTTCAAATGTTTGAATTTCATTCTAGAAAATAGAAAATGGAGAGCTGGTGAGGAGTTTTGGATGGAAGAATCATATGGTCATAAAAAAGAAAATGAAAGAAAGTATTAGCAACTGGATAGTATAGAGAATAAAATGCTTTAGGATAATAGGAAATTTATAGGTTGTTTTTATACAATGACTATTTTGCACATAAAATTATATTTGGTTTATAGTTGCTATCAATAGGTTAGGATCCCATTTTTTGTGAGATCATTTTTGCTACTTCAGAGGGCAGGCATCTGAACGATGGGGGGAGACAATATATTCTACTGTTCATAGGTTTGGGATGCTATCATCTGGATAGAAACTTCACTGTCACTATGTTTCTGGACCTGTGCAAAATAATCTCTTTCCCCATTTGACACATTCCTCAAAGGCAGCATATCGGGTGTGTATTTATTGTACTTAGATTTTGTCCATTCCTAGTCCATTCTCTGCATGGTGGCCAAAGTGACTTTGCAAAAACTCAAATCAGATTATATAGTTCTTCTACTTAGTAATCTCCAGTAAATCTCTATTGCATGTAGAATAAAATTTGAATTTATTTGCATGACCTACAGGGCTATATACAATCTATACATTGCTTACTTCTCCAATCTCATTTCAAACCCTCCCCATGTCACTCACTAATTTCCAAGCATTTTGGCCTTTTGTCAGTTTCTAGAATAACCTGTGTTCTCCACTGACATATGGGCCTTTGAACTTACTGATTCTTCTATAACAAAATATCCTTCCCGTTAGCAGGGTAGCTCTTTTGTATACTTCACACAATAGACTTACTGTCACTGAATTCAGAAAAGCATTCCATATGGTTTAACCTAATACCACATTGTTCTGCTCTCCATGGCCACAGTGAGACTAACTGCTGAAGCAAGGTAGAAACAGTTGGCACAATGGGATGCCCACCGGGTTTGGACTCAAATCTGTAGTGCAAATTCCAGTTGTACAACACACAAGCTGTGAATGCTTGGATAAATTTCTTTAATCTCTTAGCCTCATTCATTCTATTTTACATTCCCAGATGAATTCATTTATTCAGGCACTATCCTAGACACTGGGGATTATGCGATGAACAAGACAGACAATTCCCCTGCATTTATGATGCTTTGATTAATGTTGATGGATGCAGATTATCGATGTACATTACAATTTCAAGGAGTGATGAGTGATATGACTAGCATGAAGCTTCTTTTCCATAGTTTGATCAAGAGAGATCTTTCTTAGAAAATGGGACATTAGCAAAGTGGAAAATAGTATTTTCCACTTTATGCTATTGTGCAAGCTGAAATTATTGACAGAAAGAACATCAAAAAGTATCAGCCTAGGAATAATATTGCCATGATCCAGGATAACACTTGTAGACCCTGAAACCTATTTTATGTGGTTGCTGTTCTGGGAAGTAAGTGAGGTGTAGGGTGTGGTGCAGCATAGTGCAAGAAGCCTAATCAGTACTCGATAAATGTTTCCTTCCCTACTGTTCACATCTCCTATTCTAGACTGGGAAATACATAAAATCACAATGGTAGTGACCAGTATCGTTACTTTTTGCCATCTCATTCTCTCACATTCTGTCTCTGTGCATATAAATGTGGCAAGTTCTATGTCTCACCGAAATATAACACGCTAGGAAAAAGTTATTTCTTTACAAATTCTTGATCACATTTCTCAATAGCACTATCATAGGTATTTATAACAATTAGAATTTCCCAGTAATTAATGGAAAACAAAACAGTACAAAGGGTATTTAATTTAGTTCAAACTGACTGAGGGTTTCTAATTCATCATTTGATTTGATAGCTGGGTTACCTTTGTTTAAATCACCTCATCGTTTGAGAATTGGTTTCCTTGCTTTTAAGATAGAAAAAGAATTTAAATCATAAAGTTAACATGTAGAGTATGCTTACCATCTCCCAGTTATTGTGTTTAGCATATTGCATATGCTAATACATGTATTCCTCACAGCTACCCTCTGGTACATTGGCACTATTATTGTTCTCATTGTACGGATGTGGACCCTGATGTGCAGAAACTTAAGTCAATTGCCCAAGGTCGCATTGCTGGTAAGTGTCAGAACCAATATTTGAAATCATCCTACATAATACATGAGTAAAAAGTAATGTTTGTTGTTGTAAGCTGTTGATATTTTGGAGTTGCTTGTTACCAAGACATATCTTCGTTTATTTTTGACTGGAGCTTTTAATATATTTATGCATTATGACCTTAAAGAGGAAGCTACAATGCAAACATTTTCCCAGTGTATTTTATTTAACATATTTAATGTAACAATTTCTATGTATAGGCAGTATTTTAGAAACTTTATAAGTAGTAACTTTAATTCTTATATCATTACTCTGAGGTAAGTACTATTAATGTTTCCACGTAACAGCTAAGGAAATGGAGGCACAGTGGATAAGCAACTTGTCCAAGATCAAATAGTTATTATGTGGCAGAACAAGGACTTTAAACTAAGGAACTTGAGTGTGTGCTCTTGACCCTCATGTTATAATGCCTTCCTTGTACTTGATAACATATTCCATAAGTCATGGATCAACTACTTTTGGGATTCATGCAGCAATCTCTGAATGTTAGAAATATGGATCTCTTCAGTCGAGGAGGATCTCAGACAAAGTGAGTCTCTGGAACACTATTGTGAGTTATATAGATACCCCTTGGACTCTATTTATTCTTTCCTTGAGTGAGGAGGATACAGTATGCATCTTATTCTTCAAAATGAATCTTGACTATGACCTGCAGTCTGTCCAATGTATTGGGTGTTGTGTAGTCAAAACATTTAGACGACTTAAATTTTGAATGAAAGCTATTGATATTTTGTTGGAATACAGGTGCAGCTTTTAACTCTTGTTTCTGAAACTATTCCATTAACATTCAATAAATTTGTATGGCATTAAGATACAGAAATCAAATTTACTTTTCCTAAGCTTACTTACTTTGAAAGTTTACCATTATTGGTTTGTTTTTAGAACATAATCTATTGGCAAATTGTGTGTATTAGCAGTTTTACTATGACACACTGAAGAGGAAAACTTTACATTTTTGTGATTCTGAACAAATAATTCGAAGCTTTATGCAATTTATGAAAGGTAAAGGAAAGCACTGTGCTTTAGCAAGACAAGACATGTATTTTAAAAATAGTCTTAATTCTGATTTTTATCCCACAGGATCGTTCTATAGTTTTCATATACTTGATGGGAAATTGAGTTAGTATCATAGGCTTGATGATGAAAAAGAAGCATTATTGGGATTCTGTCCCATATTGCACTCTACACCAAAGCAAGTATATAAAAAAAGGGAAACATGTTTGCCCTCCATGAAACACCTTTCAACATCATTTCACATGGCTTTTCCTTAACGAGTATTTGTCAAATATCTCAGGAGAAAGAAGACTAAGTGTGACTCTGAAAGTATGAACATATTTTTAAAAGTTTTAAACCACAAGTTTCTCCAAAAATGATAATTACTGACTTTGCAGAAAAGCCAATGATAGTGGTATGGAACACTCTTAGACTCAGAATTACTTAACAGATTTAACCGTATCGGTTCTTTACTGAGAATCATATGAGCTTGCTCATCCCACTCTACCACCCCACTGCAAATACACCTGCTGCCCATTCTGCTATTATGATAAATAGTTTCTACAGATATCTAAGTGCTATTTCTATACTTAGGTGTGAAACCAACATCTTTAGATTGGGTTTGATTCTAGACCTAAGGGCATCAGTGCCATCTGCTGAATTATTGCTTATGCTTCCTGTATCTCTCCTAGATTAAAATTTAGGAACTTTGAAACCTGGAATAAGATCATGGGGTACTTCAGTGTTCCATAAAACTCAAAGGTATGATAAATCACTGACATCTTTTCAGTTGTACTCTTAAGCTATTAAAAGTCTTATTTAACAGTCATTTCATTACATTTTGCATTTTGTATGGTATTTTTACATGGTATTCTCAGACTATTTATAAATAACTCTAAGTTATATGTAAGTAAACAATATGCCAAGGAATCTTGTAAGAAATCACTTATTTTTATTTTGTTGTTATTTTGCCTGTTTTTAAGTCACGGTTGCTTTTTCGAATAATAGATACAACATATACTCAAAACCTCAAATAGTGAAAAGTTTACAATCCTAAAATATGGGAGGAAAATGTAATGATAATCTCACTTTTCAACTATGTCTGACATTAATATTTTCTGATTGTCTTTAGTTTTGTTGTCAATAGGAAAATAAATAACTATTCACACAAATAATCTCTTTTCCTTTTCATAAATGCCTTAAAATAATGAGTCCTTTTGGAAATACAGAAAAGGTTTAGTAAACAAGGTGCTAATCTGGCTCTAAAGTTAATCCGATATCTCATAAACTAGATGAAATCAGATTTGGGGTTTGTAACAATTTGACAATATATTTTATTTAATTAATATTTTTATAATGTCTCTGAATTTTCAGCACACTATTAGAACTGCAGTCTTTCAAACATGTTAGTGACTATCATTTGAACAACAGATTCATAATTCTTCAAGTATATGAATTTATTTGATTATAAAGTGTTTCCATTTAACTTTTCTTTCAAATGGTATTTTCAATTCAGTTTCACAGATAAAGTCCAACCGCATGCCAGGGCAGATATAAATTATTGGGTATAAAACATTGTCTTCTTTTCTATAAGCCTGTAATATTGTAAATGGGGCAAGATATATGTAGACAAAGCGGTAAAATAATATGAAATTGCTTAGATTCAGTGAAAAATAAATAAGCAAAACACAAACCTGGTTGCTCCCTTTATCTGCAGCATTGCCTGCTGTGTATTGCTGAGATTAGGAATGAAAATTTTCTTGTTTGGAGTCAGTGATAATCTCAAAAGAAGAGCCATTAGTCACATAATTTGTAATTCTATGGCTCCGTATGTCACACTTGATTCCTACGTGAGAAAAAAGAAAAATAGGAAAAGAAAATACAATTTTGCAATACAGACGTTGGTTACTATTAAGGGTCTGAAGCTGAATTTAAGACAAATGGATGAAAATGAAGGAAGGATGCAAGTACATTACAGTTAAGAACCCACCTACATGTACACCACTACATATTCCGGGCCTACTGTCAGTGTAGGTGCTCAAAAATGTCTGCTGAATGAGTTAATGAGTGAGGTTTGTAATTTATTTGAACACTAAAAAAAAAAATGGATATACAACATTCATGTATATTATTTGTATTGAGCTGATGAAATTTTACCCTACAAGTGTGTGTTCCTAGAGAATATGAGTGTTCTCCATGCCTACAGACATAGCTAAAGGTCAAACCAAGAGTCAATGACTATTTACCTGAAGGTTTCAGAACTTGGATTTTTTTTTAAGTGAAAAGATGACTTAAATGCTCTTTCATATTATGGATATATATTTTTTTCCAGTTTTAACTAGTTTTAAACGAAATAATTTTTCCCAAGAAAGTCACCATGTGGGGAGGAAGCAGATGGGATGAATTCAGCAACTGAACCAAATTGAGGCCTCCTAATATATGTGCTAATATTTCTTGAGGACAACTTTTCCAGCTCTAATTCTTTTTGTCGCAGCAGACTTAAAGGATTTTTTAAATTTTAAAATGTATTATTACAATCTCTAAATAACTCAGATAATCCCCTTTGTTATTGCTATCACATGCTATTTCTGCTATGGTTAAATTATTTTTTAAGCATGAGAAGAAAAAAATACAAAATTATAATGTTAAGTTCATATAGTTAAGAAAACCTGCATAAAATTTTCTTTTTAATGATTTTTCCCTGAAGTGGATTTTTAAAAATCATTTTATCTAAAAGTTTTTTCATACTAAACACACTTCACCTTACAATTTCCTTATGTTTGACCAAGACCATGTTAGTAATCAAGAGATTCTTTTAAAAAACATGAGTTTTGTTGAAAAAAAGGAAAGCTAAATTCTGAATTGAAAATAATATCTAATAGTAAACAGCTGCTAGTAAATGATGTCAGAATTCTGTACTGCATTTAACTATTCCTATAACTTAGGGAATGGCACTTCTTCCCTCTGAACTTCAGTTTCCTGATCAATAATTTTATTAAACTAGAAATGATCTATAAATATTTTCTATCTTTTACGTCCAATAGCCCTAACAGTTCACTTAAACCAAATAACTTTCCTGACTTTAAATCGCATTACATCAATTTTATCTCTTGCCACCCTTTCCCAACCTCCAAACTTTAAGTCAGAATTAATTACTCCCACAGCACACTGATAATACCTCTGTAATAGCATGTATGGTCACCTGCCTTGTTTAGCAAGTTGTTTGCATCACACCAACTACTTAGGACCACAGAGACTCTGTACTGTAGGCACAGTTTCATCAATTACCATGGAGAGAGCAACACTATGAAAGATCCCTGTGGGAAGCTGGCTAAGTACAGTCACACACAGCCTGAATTTTCAAGTGGTTTTCTACCACAGAGCATAAGTTGCTGGAGGATAAAAAGATTCTTCTATTTATCTTGAAGATAACACAAAGACTAGAAAAATATTTTCTGCATAGTGGGCTTTCACTCAATAAGTACATATGTACATGATGAATAAATAAATGAGTGATAAGTGAAATGCATAATCTTTTATTTGACAATTAATTCCTACTCAAATTTGAAGTGGCTAACAAATTCATGCATCAGGTTTGATTGCTGAAATAGATAATGTGTTTTTGAAAACAAGTTTTATGAATTTGTGTCCTCTTCCAGTAAATGCATGCACTTAAACACAGATGGGAGGGTGAGAAAGAAAAGAAAAAAGAAAAGAAAAGAAAAAGAAAAAGAAAAGAAAGGAGAGAAAAGGAAGGGAAGGAAAGAAAGAAAGAAAGAAAGAAAGAAAGAAAGAAAGAAAGAAAGAAAGAAAGAAAGATAGAAAGAAAGAAAGAAAGAAAGAAAGAAAGAAAGAAAGAGAAAAAAGAAAGAAAAGAAAGAAAGAAAGAAAGAAAGAAAGAAAGAAAGAAAGAAAGAAAGAAAGAAAGAAAGAAAGAAAGAGAGAGAGAAAGAAAGGGAGGGAGGGAAAGAAAGAAAGAAAGAAAGAAAGAAAGAAAGAAAGAAAGAAAGAAAGAAAGAAAGAAAGAGAAAGAAAAGAAAGTCAAGAAATCTGAAACAGCAATGTTGTTGTTTTTCTCAGAATGTCATTTACTGTTGTTTGATTTTCTCTTTCCTGTTTTGGATGTTTTTGGTGAAAGACTGATTGAAACTGGGTAATACTCTATTGTAATTTCCTTTGTAGTCTTTCAAAGTGTAAAAAAAATTCCTGTTACTGAGAAAATATTTTGAAAGGAAGAATATCCTTTAAGCTAAAACACATCTTGCAAAAATGAAATTTTGAGACTTTGGGAGCTGATACCCAAATCGATGATAAATTATTCAGTTTAAAATTAATGCAGCCAACTTAATTTTAAAATAATTGCCTAAATCTGGAAATAGAATATTGTAAGTATTCAGACAGGTATTCTGGGTTGTTGCTGCTATTAGAGTCCTTGATCATGGTAGTTTTCTAAAATAAATCTAAGCTGTATATAGCTGAATTTATTGATAAAAAAAAATCTTGCACTAATAGCATTCACTCAACATATGTCTATATATTCCTACTATGTGTAAGGCAGTGCTCTAGGTGCTAGTTAGTACCAGTGAAACAGCAGCTCCAAATCTCTGCCCTCACGGAGATTTCATCCTAGTAGAAGGCAATCAAACACATGATATAAAAATTATATTCCACGTTGTAAAATGTTAAGTGCTAGAAAGAAAAATAAAGCCAGATGTGGGTATAGAAACTGCAGATCATGAGGTGAGATTTTAAATAAAGTGATCACATCTAAGTCCTTCCCGAGAAGATGACATTCCTGAGAAGATGACATCTGAGCAACATCTTGGGGTAAGTGAGGAAGTCCTGTGGGAGGCTTGGCGTGGTGGCTCACGCCTGCAGTTCCAGCACTTTGGGAGGCAGAGGCAGGCAGATAACTTGAAGTCCGTAGTTCACGATCAACCTGGCCAACATGTCGAAACACTGTCTGTACCAAAAATGCAAAAAAATTAGCCAGTCGTGGTGACAGGCGCCTGTAATCCCTACTCAGGAAGCTGAGGCGCAGAATTGCTTGAACCCGGGAGGCAGAGGTTCCAGTGAGCCAAAATCGCCAGTGTACCGTATCAGCCTGAGTGACAGAGCAAGACTGTAAAAAAAAAAAAAAAAGAAAGAAAGAAAGAAAGAGAAAGAAAGAGGAAGGAAGGAAGGGAGGGAGGGAGGGGGAGAGAGAGAGAGAAAGAAAGAAAGAAGGAAAGAAGGAAAGAAAGAAAGAAAGAAAGAAAGAAAGAAAGAAAGAAAGAAAGAAAGAAAGAAAGAAAGAAAGAAAGAAAGAAAGAAAGAAAGAAAGAAAGAAAGATTGATTTCCGTTGAGGTTTGAGGGGTGCTCCAGGTAGAGGAACAGCATGGGCAATGTTCTAATACACACTGAGGAATGAGAGACTCCGATTTTTTCAAATAAGGAGTTAAAAAAATATTTCTCAAGATTCTCACACATTACATAAATATGAATGACGTATATATCCTTATGTCTCCAAATGTTGTATTGGAATGCCACAGGAACAGAGAACATTTACTTTCTAATTACACCCATCAATTAAGCAACAAAGCTGGAATTCAGCCCACAGAACCTAGGTTGGAGACAAAGCCTTGTAAATTTGAATAGGACCAACAAGTTTTTGGTTTTAAAACTCCCTCCATTCATATGCATAAAATAAAATCTCACAGTATTTGACCTACATAAAATCCAACCATAGACATCAGATTTGATTCTGTATTTTTTTCTTGAC